CTTTGTCGATCGAGTGGTTTGTTGCTATTATTATTAGTATTATTGGATGGTTTCACTAATTAGCCACATATGGCAGAACAGATTTTGGAAAATTCGATAAGTCTGGTCTGATTTTCCCTTTACGAATTAAGCAGAGCATTTCTGGCATGCAAAAGGCCCATCGTTCGAGTATGGGACAGGCAAGTATTAGAGGCTTAAATTTAGAGCCTTTAATGAGCGAAGTGCGTTCAAATGGGGCTTTCGAGGCAAAACATTCGTAACAATACAGTTGCTCTCGTTGGTGAATAAGCAAATATTTTTGAAATAAATTATTTCGACAAAATCAAAGTTTTTAAAGGATTCTATATAAAATGATGTTTTTTATTGACAATTATTATGTTTTTAGCGGTTTTATTTTTACCTTTTTATATATTATTTGAAGAGGATCAATAAAAGAGGATTAGTCTTATTTTTCCTCGATTTTTGTAATTGTTGCAATTTCCTCTCAGCGACGTAAATTCAGTGGTTCTCTCGTTCTAAGTGATCCTTTGGTGAAAGATTTCGTCTTTAGAGCGAATCAAGCCAGAAATGGTGAATGCTATCGAAGAGAAATCGAATATCCCAGCCTTTTGTTGATCGCATAAGCCAGAGCTCGGTTCGAGCAAAAGTGTTTTGATGACGCCTTTTTCGCTTTCGCTTTTTCGCTTTTTCTTCGCCCTTTGATAGCTCTCACCATTACTGCTTAGGCTGTTTCTCTAGAATGGGTTATCCATACAGGAGTGATACACTAATTAGATGCGAGCTCTTCATTAGAAATCACTTGACTACATATACTGCTCATTTACTTGGTAATTTTCAGAAGTTTCGGCAAGTTTCCAAAGAAAGCTACGCTACTTAATAGGTGCTTTTAGCTATTTGTTAGGTTGCGCACAAGCACAATCAATCAGTGAATGAACGAACTGTCTAAGAATTTGATAATTTTGGATCGTCCGAAAATTTCACCTGGAATTTCCCATATTTCGCCGCTGCTTTCAAAAATTTGTCGGCATCGAGATTTATATGCCAGGGAGTTCCTTGGCGATGGAAGTACAGGTGAGTCGCCAGCATCACCCGGATTTTTGGATAGGTTTACTCCTGCGGAGAATTGAACCTCAACATCGGCGCTCCATTTTAAATTAACTATGTACAAAAAAATTTTGTGGATTACACTCATTATAAGAATTTACTTTTCATTTTTTCTTTCAAGCGTTGAGTTTGGAATTTGCAAATAATAAAACAATTTTAATAATAGCTACTTTAATTTTAATAATTAAAGAATCACCAAACAGTCGATCATGTCATGTGCTTGGCGACGAGAATCAAACCTTTCCTTGTGAAGAAATCTCGAATGCCTATTTTTTCTTCAACGAAACAGTTCAGCATTCTACGCTAAATTTTCGTTACATGGGAACTTGGCGTTATTTTGCATTTTAAAATAACTTTGAGACATTTTAAGATTTATCTGAAATTTCTCATTAAAGACAACTTTTTCATACCAAATATGAGGAGGCCATATTCATAAAAGGTTGGAACAGTATGTTCTTAGGCTACGGTCAGCCTTTCTTCTCCCTTTACGGAGCATTACCATTAATCAGAGCGGCCACTATCTTCAAATGCTTGTCCAGCGCCAAACCAGAATTTAGAAGACTACTACATCTTTATCAGTTTTTTATGTACAAATTTTCTCAAACAATCATTAAAATGAATAAATTTATTGCATATTTATCATGAATGTGTAATGTTTTTTTAGTTTGATTTGGTGTGTGAGAGAAAATCCTTGGCTAAACTTGCTTTTTCTCTTTTCATCGTTGGTGAATTTTTTGTGAATTTTCCATCTAGGAGAAGTTAAGGAAAACAAGACCATAAAGCTGCTAGTGAAATAAGATTGCTGATGTATTTATGCTTTAGTCGTGGCTAAAAATTCTATATAATTTGTTTCAAAAACTATTTAAATGTGTTGGTTAAAAACTATATTAGTGGGGAGTTTATTTGAGTAAATAAATAGGTTATGATTTAGTTATATGAGAGTGGATGAAGCAGCCCTTTCAGAACTTAGGCTACTTCAAAACACTGGTTGATGATCGTCCTGGTGGTTCTTTTAATTAAAGAAATTATCTAAAGGTGGCATAATCGCGACACCTATCGTGGCTCAGATTTCGGAGTTGTGCGGTCGTCGTCTCGTATTTTTAACTTTATTATGGGGCAGCTGTTATTGCTAGCTTATTAAACGAGATTATCATCCGTTTATTATTTTTTCGATTCGTTCAAGGCGTTCGAATTCTGGTTTTTTTAAAGAATACTTAGGGAATTTATGCGAATGAAAAAATGAACCATTTTAAAACTGATATTTAATTCAAAAATTGCTGCATTTTCTATGTTTAATATTATAAAGAAAGAAAATTTCGAATAATTTTGCAGGTATGTGCGAGCATAGCTTGCGTTTTAGGTTGCGAGTCAGTCAGAGTCAGCCGAGTTCTGTGCAATAATACCCATAATCCGAACTTTCATATGGGTTGCTGGAACATATTTTGTTGGCGTTATTCGAATTTTCATTTACCAGTGGCGATTGTCCTATTTCGTCATTTCATTGCCTGGTCTGACGAAATTCGCCTGCTACTGGTTATTTTCAATGGTTTTTGTGCCATCACTGGTTAAGGCAATATGATGCATGGTACTGTTTATATAATAGTTTGCTGGGTTATATATACATAGCCACTGAAACTTAAAACCCGGCGAGAGAGAAGTCTGAATTGTGTTTGCATGGTTATTTCACTAAGCACAGCCGGTACGAGGATCTCCTTTCAGCACTTCATATATGCACTTCTGGTACCAGTGAAACCCTCATGCGTTCAGAAAAAAACTCATTTATGTCCACTGTTTCGTGGAAACTCTATTCGTCCTTAATGCTCTTTTAATATTCTTGGATATTCCATTGTTTTCATTTCGTCAACCCTCAACGTCTTTTTTTGCTCCAACTCTTTAGTAATATGTCTGCAACCACTTTTCAGGCCTAATAACTTTTTAATTTAATGCAGATACTCTCTCTACATTTGGTCATATCCTTCTATCAAAATCTTGAGCAATATCGTAAGCTTTTTTATGCTAAGCCATTTCTTTCAAACGCAAATATGATATCTTAGCATGACGAACCTCGCTGTGCCGTTCTTTTATACTCTATAAAGGTCTTTATGTTTCGAAATGCCATTTTGAAACCCTAAAAGCTATATATTTTTTGAAAAATCTTCCTGAGTAATGTAAAATTTTTTTTGCACGCTGGTTTGACTGGCTACATTGGTATTTAGGTAAAAGTGCTTCCAAGCCTTCCGACTCAATTCCACGCTAAAAGTAATTTAAGCCACTTCTTTCATTGTCAAAACCATCTCGACTAAACCAATACTACTGGGGTGCCCAAAATTTTCTTGACCGCCCAGGTTTTGCTTGGTTGCTCTTGAATCACAGCAAGTAACGAGGTGCTTCAATTTCTGTGTTGGTCTACATGGCCTAACCAGCATAAGCAACTTTGTGTCAATATTAATGCAGATGATGTTCAAATAAAGATCAGTGGAACCATGAAACTCGTTTCCTCATTTGTTTCTTGCGTTGTAAAAGAACTAGCTGCACCTATCTGAGTAGGAATTTCACCGATAGTTTAGTCATTAAATAGGAGGGTGAGTCCGATACATTTAAAGACCTCTTGAATCTTCTTGAACCACTGATGAATTTATATAATATGCAACCTTATCAGCGTCCCATATAAGACGAAGAAATTTCATATTGATTGAAAAGCCAATTTTCGCTGCTTTTATCGAATTATTAAAGCCCTTTTTTTGGAAAGGGCAAATAAAAAGATGCGATTAACAAGTTCCTTATCCAGGATGTATACTGAACAAGGTTGCGGGATTTACACGTGCTACTAAACAACTGATACATCCAGCAAATCGAGAGCGAAGTGGCAGAAGTGGCAGTACAAGCGCTCAAGGCATAGACAATTGTACTGATTTGCCTTAATCCATTATTTTGCCCACATCTGACCCCTTTCTATCATTTCATTTCATACCTAGTTGCAGATAGTTTTTGCCATTCATCCTTATTTTCCTCATTTCACGGGGAGTTGCAGAATACTGAGAAGAATTATGGGGATTTTTGCCTACAAGCAGCAGAAGGATGTTATAGAAACATTTTGTGGGGATATCAAAAACTATGCTAGAGTGTGAAAATAATTTTGCCCGAACCTGTTGCAAATCTTTTTCAATAGTAGTTTAATTTATAAAACTTCGAAAAAATTTCAAATTTTTATTCACTGTTATAATTTTTTATGGTTTTTTCAAAATCCACAAAAAAAATTTGTTAGTTTAATTCAAAAAAGTTCTTTTTATTCTATTTTTTATTGAAAATATTCTGGATGATCTCATTAATCAATGCAAATCTATATGTTTATAGGTATGTCTCAGAGTCACCACATTGGTCGATCAACCACAATAGAAAAAGTGCAATCTTAAGGCGAGTTTTTGAACGAATGGACCGCAGTTTGCTGTACCAATTTGCTTGATTAAAAATTACGAATTATCTTAAAAATGATAATTCTGCGTCATATCCATCATTTCGGATTACAGTTAAATATTGCTTTTCCAGTTTTGTTTATTTGTTCATTTTGTTCATTTTTTTGATCAGTCTTTTTTACATATTTTGTTAAGTCATATCATTTAACAAATTTCTTAAGCAGATATGTTCGCGATGTTCCTCGGCTGAATAATGTAACAATTTCGTTAAACGATTGCAAATCTACTGATATAACGAAGAAACGACAAGCATCAAGATCATTTCTGGATATGATAACAAATAAAGCTATCATGTTTCATTTTATCATTTGGTAATGCAATGCTTCATTTTGTTAGTTTTTGTTATAATTTGCTTTAAATAATTCATTTTATTAATTTAAATATTTAGGTCAATCTGATTTTTTTTTTTCTTAGTGCATCAATATGAACATAAAGCGAGAAGCGAGTGATATGATAAAATATTATGAAGGTGAAAATCATGAAACTGATTCGGCTGCTGGTCTTTATTTTATTCAAAATATATATGTGTAGGTATTAAAAAGCTCCAACAATAGTAAAAATTTTTTAAAAGACTGTCTGTATTGACTATATGTCTGTCTGTATTTCAACAACCCAACGGGACATTAATTTTTTTCCAAGTGCTTCTTAGATTTTCGAATATAAAAATTTAAATTTCAGAATGGTAATACATATGACTTACTGGTTATTGGCGTTAACTAGCGTTCAACTGAGTAATGATTACTTAACTGGCTATTTCATTTCCGGATTTGTGGATCTTCCTCCAGCATTAATTTCCGTATTTTTGTTTTGCTTTGCTTTACTAATAGCAGAAATGATCCCAACCTCTGTTTGTACTATGGAATCACTTTTCTTTTCAGTGAAGCGGGTTCAATGATTGCACTGTATCTTCAATTGCGCGTACTTCATACTCCATCATACTCCATCATAAAGTTTCAATTTTTAACTAAGATTTTCATGGATTAAATGCCATTGGTTAACAGTTGCAATTTCGACTTTTAACTTTTAGGAGTCTTTTGGTGATCGCACACCCCTACTTATTCTTGCAATTTTATCAGTAATTGCGGCTTTTCTGATTCTTACAGTCCCTGAAACAAAAGGTAAACGAATGCCAGAAGATGCCAACGAATTCGATGCAGGATGGTTTCTGGCATGGCTTGGCTATCGATGAGATGCAAAAGATAGGAATTTAAACGACTCATTTTTCATGCCAATATTTTCTTGGAAGTTGTTATGTACATAACAGTTTATTTAAATTTAATGGTATTTGTTGACCCTACCAAATTATGTTAATTTTAGCATGGTTTTTATGTATGAGAACCTTCTATATTAATCAGGGCCTATTTCGTTCTTAATCGCACTCAGTCACTTATGGCTTAGGTTTGATTAGACTGGCTTAAGATTAGCTTATAAGATTAGCTATCTCCTTAAACTTCACGTGGGAATTTCCCATCTTGCATCTTAGATTATAGATTGATCGAGGAAGCTTTTGGTAAGTATTGACGTTGAATGCTTTTGGTAAGTATTGACGTTGAATGCTCAGAAAGTTTTTGAAATATTAAATAAGCGAAGCGCTATGATCTTGATTTAAATGAAATCACGATTATTTATTTAATAATACGCCCTATTGTTGCTAATTAATAATTATGCTTATTTACTAATTTCTACCGCTATATTTCTTTAAAGTTTCTACCACTCATGTATATAGTGGCGATATCAGCAAGGAATCTCATTTTCATTCCAGCTTTATACCCATGAATTTTTTTTATAAAATATTATTCCATTTTGTATATTTTTATTTTACTAAGAAATAATTTGAATAGAAATAGAAATAATAAAATTATTTAAAAATAATTTAGATTATGCGGCGCGAAGTCATAAGGGGAATTTTTTTTCTATTTTCATCAAAATGGTGTTTCCTTACCGATGACAATAGGCTATATTTATTTATTTATTTCAACTGAACCGAGCATAGCGAACAGTTATGTGTTAGCGTTAAAGAAAACAAACAAGTATAGCAAAAAACAGCCGAAAAAGTAAAAGGCAACTTGGGAAAATTGCAGAGATTGTAAAATTGTAGAAGTCAAACACATCAAATTGCTTATATCCAGTATTTCACGAGTTCCTTCTTTCTTTCATCCATCGCTTGCAGTTTCCTCCAAATTTTTAATAAACTTTACCGATAACAATTCATTCACGAAAGTTTAGGTCATAAAAAATAAAATATTTTCACAATATTGTCTGTTTATTTAAATCGTTAAATTGAAGTTATAACAGTTAAATAACATAAATTAACTCATCTTCTTCTAAGTACGAATACGGATGGAGCATATTTTGTTTCTTTAGACAATTTCTTCCGATAACACGCGTAAAAAATCAGTTCTTCGCTCTACAAACAAGTTTTAATTTTTATAATTTCAATCGACTAGATTTTGCGATATGAGAATTTACCAATCAAGGCCAACATGATCGTGTAAAATTTTGGAAAGTAGGTCATTTTATTCTTAACTCATAATGCCTGACTTTTAACGAATAGCTCCATTAGGATTTAGGCGATGTAAAAAAAAATATTCCATTAATTATTTTTTTTAGATATATTTAACCTAGGAAAAGAAATAATAAGAATAATAACAATAAGAACTGGTGTCCTTCAAGGTTGGGTCGTTTCCCCTACAGTATTCAACAATGCGACTAGGTAATGGACACCGCTTGTCGACATTCAAGGGGTGTCCAAATCAGACCAGAGTGTAGTATCATAGATCTTGAATAAGCTGATGATGTAGTTCTTTTTATTGACAGGTTACCAAATGGCAAGGCAAAAGGCGATATTATAGCCCGGATCACGGCAGCTAGAAATGCATTCTTCCGATTAACGAAACTTTTATGGAGCCGTCGTGAAATTACCACTAAAACAAGTCCGCATATATAACCGTGATTCGTTCGATCTTACTATATGGTTCTGAGACATGGCCAATGGGAGTGGCCGATATTAAGAAGCTACCTACCGCTCAAACACTACCTGTATTAATAATATTATCAGAGAGCGTCGTCTTCGCTGGTTAGGGCACGTTCTCCGTCGTCCACCACAAGAGTTGTATATTTCGTTACTTGCTAAAAAGCATGTGATGGATGGCGTCAAAAGCGAGGTGGGCCAATCAAGACTTAGACTAATACAGTCAGAAAAGATTTTGAACATATAGGTGGACCAGCAATATATGGACTTAGACGATGGAAAAAGGAATGGCTTCTATTACTACTAGTGATGGCATCGGACCGAGCAGCTTATAGGCGTCTTTCCCTTGTAGCTACTGGAGCTAGCCTAACCAATGATGTGAGAGTTGCTAGAAGAAGAAGAAAAATCTAGGAAAGGTTGCCCCTCATTCTGATTTGAAAACCATCTATTTTATTTTTAAAAACTCTGAACATCCTTTTGGCTTTCGGTTTTTTCGCCGAGTTTTTTTTACCATAGTTATACTATGGATCGAAGGCAGATTGTTACCTACAGTTAAACCAAAGTCTGAATTAATTTCACTCGAACGAGCTAGGAGAATGTGTTCTTTTTATAAACTTGCACAACTGAGTTCTTGAATTAATCTATAATATTTTGAACTTATTAATGGACGTAAAAATTTTCTTCAAATCAGTTATTCATATCATTTCGATCTTGGTAAATTATCCGAAAGATTATGTTAAAAATTTTGTTAATATCACCACAAAGATATATAGCAGAATTTCGAATGATTTTGGCAACGCCACTGATGTGCAACAAAAATAAATATCTTTAGAGAAACTTAACCGGTTCCCGGTTAAAATATGGACCTCCCGGTTAAAATATGCACGTTTGATATCGATTACATAAGTAATTGAAAATACATACTGAAAAAATTTCGTTTCCTAGATTACTATTAATTTGTGTAATAATTTGTGACAAGACACTTTGGTCAGATTTAGATATACCATTGCTGTGATTTGTCCATGATTAATAGATAATAATAATTTTAAATTTTTTTATTATAATATTATAACAATAATTTTTATTTTTAGGTTTATTTTGTTGATTAATTCGCTTAAAAATCATCATAATTTCATTGCTTCTGCTTGCAAAATAGTTTGAAAATTTCTTGTTTTTCAACATATTAATGAGAATTTCTGAAATATTTACTGATACAAATGACTGAAAGTGTAAAAATAACCCGTTTTTTTGTCATTCTTTCATGAAAATGTGGCATCATCGGTAAAATGTCTTTTGCTAATTTTTTTATAATTGCTAATATAATTTATTTTTTGGTAGGTTTTTGAAACACCGATACATCTAACTTGGTTGTTCTTTAATGGCTGATCGCTCACTTTTAATCATATATTTCCACTCTTTGTTTTATAATTTAAAATTATTTTCTCAAATTTGATATTTTAAAAAATCCCTCAAAAATTGTCGATAAGTATTCAATTTTCAATCATTTTCAATTAAGTATTAAATTAATTTAGCATATTTTTTTCTTTCAATATTATATAATGCATTTATATAATATATATTTATATTAATATACATTATATTTAATGCAATATTGTGCAATGTATTATTATTGTTTATTATTATTATTATTATTATTATTCTTATTTGTGGCTATAAACCTATCTTCTAAATGCCCTACGTAAAATGTTATTAGGAGTGCAATGGGAAAATAATTGTATATAGAATTAGCAATATGAAGCCCCTGGAATTTTCTAGTATAGAAATGTTATAAATGTTATAATTTTTGAATATCTGAAATATAATGCCTCTAGAATTTTTTTCTGATGTTTGCATTCCTTCTTTTTCAGATTTGTTTATGATAAATTCTTTTTTTCTGTTCAGTTTAAACTATAATTAATTGTGATTTGCATTAGTTACAGTTGAAATTAAAGGATTTGAAATCCAACCGAAAATTATTTTAAATTTCTTTATTTCTGATTCGTTGCGAAATGAATAATCAAACGAATAATTGTAAAGTTATTAAAAACAGGAAAATTTTCGCATTGATAACAATTGGAAACTAATTATTTTATGAAAAGACTTAAAAAGAGAACAATAAAAAACGAAAGGCTGAAATCGAAGTCTCTTTTTGAAATCATTCCAATCTCTAGTCACTTAGCCTGGCCAAGTTCGAGTTGAATCCATAGTCGAATGGTCTTTGCAATGAGAAATTAAGCCAGTCTTTAGTCATCTTTTTGTCATTTTTTAAACGTTTATTCTTTCTTTCTTTTATGGAATTAGAACTTTTTATTTTCAGTGAAATTCGCATGAAACGATTATTTAGCATTGCAGTCTTTGTTCGAGTGAGTTCAGCTTTCTTTTGTTGCCTGCAAAATATCACTGTTCGTGGCCAATTCGCTTGTAATAGAACCGCTATCGCCAACGTTTCTGTGCAACTTTGGGATGAAGATTCATGTAAGTCGAGTTAAATTTAATTATAATTTTTTGCCTCATTTCACTCGATTATTTGATTTGGATCGAAAATAGGACGGCTTCATTTGCCTTAAAAATTTTTAAATTTCAATTTTTTTTCATTGGCATAAAATTTATTTATGGGCACATCTTTTCTCGCAACAGCTCTCGCTATATCTGGTTTAACGGGCTTCACTTGCCATTAAGATGAAAAACTTTAATAATAGAAAATAAAAGAATTATTTAGCAAAAGAAGGGCCATGAGTCCCACAAGAAATTTTTCTTTTTATGCGATTTTCCAAATGAATTCGTAATTAGCAATTCATAGAATTTGTTAATATTCGCTAAAGATTTCTCATTAAATATTTTAGTCGATCCTGATGATTTCTTGAATTCTACTACATCTGATTCAGCAGGTTTTTTCAATATTTATGGTGAGACAGTCGAGTTGTCTACCATGGATCCATATCTTATAATTTCTCATAATTGCCTTGAAGGGAAAATTGAAGAAGTAAGTTCTTTTGTGAATAAACTAGTTTTCTTGCTATTTTTATGCTTTTTTTTCAGGCACTTTAAGGCCGAATTAGCAAGCTATGATTACTTTATGTCATACTGCCATCTATGCGTTTTTTTTCTTAAACTTACTATTGCCACAAACTGTATAAACATCCAAATGTTTTTAAAGGTGCAATTTTCAGAAATGTATCTTCAAAGAATCATTCACAATTCCAGAAAAATTTATTGGCAGGATCTATGATATGGCTATCGTTAGCTTGAATATTGCTAGAAGGCATCATAAGGAGCTTTGTATCAATAGTTTAGATTAGTTTCATCGTCTAAGAGCAAGAATAACCATTCTGCTTGTCCTTGCATTTGTATGATTTTTCTGGCAAAGATTGAACAAAGCTTGAATATTATCATTAGTGTCTGTTAAATTTCCATAACTAGATACTGAAACCACTGCAAATTTTATTTGCACTGTGGAGGGTTGCCGGTTAAGAGCATTTATTTTATTTGTTCTGTGTTAAAAACTTGACAGATTTTTCAATCTTAATTGAACGGCCTTAATTTTTTTTTTTTTTGGTTGTATATATTTATGTATTTATACATTCTCGAAATAAATTATTACCACTATCGATTACCATTCACATCAATTTAATTTTTTCGAATTTATGATCTTGATTTACCAGTGCATAATATTGTAATACAAGTGGGTATGATAGCAGAATAAATACTGGCACAAATCATCGTGTTGAGAAGAATAAGCTTATCACCAAAAAACTTAGGTAATATCGATCCATTTATGCGATGAAGTAACTCTGGCAAAAATTTGTAACGGCACTAACAGTCAGCGGAGCCAGCATAGCGAAAAATGCTGACCATTTATTTAAGATTGCAATATATTCCACTCGAATTGATTTTGAAATATTTTGCAACATAGAAGGAAGAAAAAAAATTTTCATAAAAAGCAGAATGAAAAAAGCAATTCTGTTTTAATTAATAGAAGAATCTTGTACAAAGGAATCATTAAACAAGTATTGTAATTTAAGCGAAATTCTTTATAAATAATTCATTTATATTTCCCAACTCAAAAAACTTTTTGTTATTTGTTTTCGAAGTTACAAATGATAAATGGTAATCACCTGCGGTAGAAGAAAATTTTGGAAGGAAACAGCTGACCAACAAAAAATTTTGGATGAGAGAATGACAGTGAAAATCTCAGATACTTTCATTTTTTGCATGTTCGCTTTCTTTTTTTCGTTCCGTCCGAAAGATTAATTGCTCCGATGTGATAAACTTTTCCTTGCTTATCTTTTGGTATTTTATAGCGATCAATTATGGTGCATTTCTAAAATAATGTTCTAAAATGATGAAAAAAGTCCTTCGCAAAAAATGAAAAAACCCTCCAAAGTTTCTTAAAAATTTGTTTAAATTATAGTTTTCTAGCAAGACGAACTACATCATCGGCGCATTCAAGATTTGTGATACGATGCTCTGGACTGATTTGGACATATCTTGATTAAGGTCCATCACCGACAAGCGATGTCAACTATCCAGTCTATCGCGTAGTTGAATATTGGATAGTAATGGAAAGGATGTAGCCTTGGACCAGTTCTTATTTCGAAAGAGTTTGGCAGTTCCATATATACATAAGCCTTCCCGATATACGTTGATGAAATGCCTTCATGAGCCGAATGATTTAGAACCGCCACATTCCATCACTCTCCAAAGCTGCTCTATTGATTCAAGGGCAAAATCGATGAAACAAATGACGGTGGATTGCCGATATTTCAAACCATCTTCCAACATCTTTCTTAACGTGAACATCTGGTCAGCACACTTGGTTAGGACGGTGTCTATGACATCCCTCGTACTAAGTTTATTTAATAGGAGGAAAGCGAAAATTTTCCCGGAGATGTCTAATAGGCTTAAGATCATAATTATTACGAAAATCTTAGAACTTTGGATATACGACCATCTTTTGCAGCCTTTTAGATATTTTTCTTTTCTCGCTACTTTTGCCTTGGCTGCCTCCAGGGATTTTTTGGAGACTTTTTTGGAAGTGCAGAGAATCCAGTGCTTATTAAAATATTCCAATAAATTTTAGCAACAAATAAAAATTTTTTGATAAAAATTTACCAAATTTGGTGCTATTCCATCACAATTATGTGTTATAAGCAAATATGGTTCGATATTTCGTATTTCTCGCGTTTGGCCATAAATTTCGAAGCGTCCAACTAAATCCGAAAAAGTGGTGTTCAGCTTGTCGTCACGATTCACTGAAAGTTTAATGATATTAATTGATTAAGGAAGTGTTTATGAAATAATTCAAAATAATCAAATTTTGCTGTATATTATTAGAACCACAGACTTAGCGATTTTTTTCCATTAATTAGACATCAGTACACATACAAATATCATCTTCCCAAAGTTCAATTTTCTTTCCATCAGCACTAAATACCCCGCATTTTATCATGCCTCGTACTGTGACATTTTTCATCGAACCGAATAGGCCACTGATGGGAGCAAAGCCGACAAAAATTAGTATGAAGCTAAACATCCTGAAAATATTTGTTATTAGCTGATCTAATCTCATTTCTGAAATGCTACTGAAATAAAACAGTTAGAAAAATAGCCTGTAAAAGAAATCGATTGCTTGGCTGATACTACAAGCTTTGGCATCACTCAAATTTATCGCTTAAATTTTTAAATTTGAGGATTGCAAATGCCGTAATTCAAAAAAGGAAAACGCGAAATACGAGAAATTTGGAAAGACTTTCAACACCATTCAGTTTTAGTGGTAAATTCATTCCCGTCGAGAATTGGAGAGAGCCTATCATAGACTTCAGCTTTAACTGAAGCAACATTACCGCTTTTTCATGTAAAAAAATAGAGCAAGAAAATAAAAGCATTAGAATAAGTTTAAGCAAGTGGCACGATTGGTTGCAGATAATTGATTTTTGAGAATTTCTTCGATATGTCCTTAGAGCAATTTTTTATAATTACACCTGTGAAAACAAAAAATGGTTGAATCACAAAAATGAAACGATAAACCACGCCATTAAAAAAAATTCTGGAAAAATTCGAACCGTTTCTTCCTTATATTGTATATTTTTTCGGATAATTTAGATTCATTAATTGTAAATTCTCAGAATTACAAATTACAAATCGTAAAATATAAACGAATTAAAAATTTAAAGAAATATTCAAAAGTTATTCAAAATAAATAGTTAAATAATTCCAATTATTAAAAAAAGTGGAATTATTCAATTTAATTCGAACGAACAGTCAAAATTTTTTTCTTCGGTCGTTCACTGTTAATAGTGAAAAATTCGTCATTATTTTAAATGATTCATTTCTTTTCTATATTCATGTTATTTATTATAATTATTTAATCATAATTTTCCTCATGCTTTTTCAAAGAGAACATACCGTCTTACCCTTGTGGCCATCCGAGTCAGTAATGGGAACTGAGGAAGAAGAGCGATTCGCCATTGCTGCTTAGGCCAGCTAGCCGGCTTTGTGATTGGCCATCATCCAGATTGTTGAAAGACAGATTTGCTCCTCTTGGATGTAGAACATCACTATCGACTGAGCAATAAACCAATGAGCCATTCCATCTACTTTCGCCACTTGATATAGAAAAAAAATTATTTCTCATTTGCATTTTTCAATTTTTACCTTTTCCAATTTTGACCGTTTTTTCCGAATGTGTATGGATTAAAATCCCAGGAAGTCAGTTAAATTTACTTGATCTCCAAAAATAATTTCATATGGTACTTCGAACTATATATCAGTCTAAATGACTGCCTAATAAAAATTTTTAGTTATACTAATACAATTAGTTAACTGAGTGGCTTTAACTAGGACTATTGAGCACTAACCACTTATATTTTTCACTTCAAATCGCTTTCTCTAATTCCTCTTATTAAATTTCTTTAATCTCTTGTTTAAATTCAACAACATCAAAACTTTTTAAAACCTTCATATGAAATTTATTCTATTCTAAATTTATTTAAATTACTTTATATCTTTTTATCTCACAATTTCTCTATTTTTCTCTATATCCTCAGTACTTTCAGTACTCCAAGTAAATTATAGTCAACGGCTAAAGGTGATGAAACAATAAAGCGAGATTAGATAAACATTAAGAAAAGAAATGTTATATTATATTCGGAGTAAACAGTGTAGAGTTTTGAAGGTTGATAATTGGATATATATCAAGATCCAGAAAAAATGTCAAGGAAATAAAAAAAGGGATATCTGAAGGGTTTGAAATATTGTATGGGATCTAAATGGACTATTGATGATTCAGGATAAAGTGGCACCTTAGGGGTTTCTAAAGGAAGAAAGAAGAGAAACTAATTTAAAAGAGTAACAATTCTCACCATTACTGGTTAGGCTGGCTCCACTGACTATATGGTTAAAACATGTCCAAGCTGCGCAATCTGTTGATCGATAGTAATTATCGATAGTAATATCGATAGAAGCAATTCCTTTCTCGATCGTCTAAGTCCATATATTGATGGTCCATCTATATGTTCAAAATCTTCAAAATCTTTCCTGACCATATCAATCCAGGTCTTGATTGGCCCACTTCGCTTTTGACGCCATCCATTACGGTTTAGCAAGTAACGAAATATGCGACAACTTTTGTGGTGGACGACAGAGAATGTGCTCTAACCATCGAAGGCGACGATGTGCAATAACATTATTAATGGAAGTGGTATTTGATCGAAAGTGGATGCGATCATATGATCATTTATATGCTCGACGGACATGTAAAATGTACCTTAGAAAAGAGTGTTCAAAGGTAAATAGTTTCTTAATATCCTCTACTATCACTGGCCTGCCTCGTAACTATATAACAAGATCGAGCGAATCGGGACAATGAAGACACGGAATTTCGTTTCTATGATGATTTCGCGACAGCCCACATAAAGGAAAGAAAAAAGCATGTTAAACTGCCGTTATTATTATTATTATCGGGGTTTCGCCTTTTGTCTGGCTATTCGGTATTAGAGTGGATCCAGGGTATTTGAAATCAGGCGCTTCCCTCAACTGGCAATAAATTTAAAAAAAGAGGCATTTTATCAGCTTTTTGCATATAAAACGAAAAGATTTTCGTTTTTCGTTATTTACATTGACCCTGGGTTCGATTCTCGCTGCAGTTGCTCCTACTTTGTTTAGCTCTGTTTGCTTTTCATTATCAGTGTATTTAAGATCTGAAATATAATGTTTAGGACTTGGACACTTTTTGAGTGCTAGCGATGATCATTATCTAGTCTATCGCATAGATGAATATTATAGGGAGAAGGATGCAGCGTTGACGGATACCAATTCTTATTTCGAAGGATTCTATTAGCTCCCAGACCTGTGCCAAGGTGTGATAAAATACCTTTATGAGTCGAATGATCTTCTCTTGGAATATTACCCTACAAAGAGCCGCTCTATCAATTGAATCAAAAGGTTATAAAGTTGACAAATCAAGTGACAGTAAGTTGTAAATATCTGAAGCGATGTTCCAACACCCTTCTTAGCGTGAATATTTGGTTAGCACAACCGCACCCCCTTTTGAATCCAGCTTAATTAGGACGCTTCCTGCTATGCCGTAATTCCATAAGTTTATTGAGTAAATGGGAAGCAAAAATTTTCGCTGAGACGTTTAGTAAGCTGATTCTTCAATAATTGTCGTAATATGTCCTATCATTTTTCCTGAGAATCTGGAGAATTGCTTGATTGCAACCATCTGATAATATTTCTTTTTTCCATACTAGAAAGCACATTTGTTAAAGGTGCGTTATGAAGGACGTGGAAAACATTTGAAGAGTTCAGCCCTAAGACCATCTTCTTCAGAAGACTTATTGGCCTTAAGCTTATGGATTACGGAGATTTTTTCTTCTTCTACCTGTGGCTCTCAATTGCAAGCGTATGGTTCGGCGAACGTATCAGCTATATCAGAGGCAACAGATGGCGCTTCATGGTTAAGTTTGGCCTTAAAGAATTCTTTCCATTTTATAAAGCGGAATAGCGGAATAAATCCTTAATGCTCTTGACTGGCACGACATTGCTGCCTTTTACCATTTCACTGATCGTTCCCCGAGTTATAGTAGCTTTATGAAGAAAGCGGAATTTGCTATTATCGCGTAAACGAGCAGCCGTCAGCATTCTTGAGGTTATGTTACTCCAATAGTGATTTCTGTTCTGCCGTGCTGTTTTTGTTCAAAAACTTTGAAGCATACGCTAGTCAGGTTCACTTGACCATTCTTATTTTTGGCAGCTTTTTCAGACATTTGGACAGTTGCTTCTGATACCCAACTAGCACACTTCCTACTATTATGCCCTAGCGTGGAAGTGGCTGACTTTCGGAGACATTCCTTTAGTTTGGAGCAGTATTCATTTGCCGTTATAGAAAAGTCATTGATGTTTATATCATTTGTATATTTTTATCACTGAGATGCTTCAATAATTCGGTTTGAAATGTGCCCACTTTTCCCGAATTTTTCAGTTTGAGATAGTTTAAGGATCTTGGGAGATGCTGTTTTCTACGAGTTGTCAGTTTTATGCGGATCTTGGCTCGAACCGTAACATAAATCGATATGAATATATGAATAAATTTTAGTAAATTCTTTTTACTACAATAAAATTTGAAGATCAATGATATATATGATATCAATGATATTTTTAATAATTGGATGAGTTTTGAATTTTTCTGGCATTGCATTTTTCAAATTTATCCTTTTATTAAGGCTTGCTTTGCCAAATTTCAATACTAATAATGATTGAAAAAAATTGATAGAAAGTATTCAACCCAACATTATTCCCTTAATTCTTTTTCTTCTCCCATAATTTCTGGTTTGATGAGTTATTTTAAATAGGCTGAAACTGCTTATGAATATGCTCCATCAGAGAATTGTTTAAAAAATATAAATGAATCCTCAAAACCGCTCAAATTAAATATTAAAGTATACTCAGTAAAATATTAAAATAAGGACAATAAGCGAACAGAAATCGAGCGGTGAACGGGACTATAATATCGCAACACCAAAAAATAAAAATGGCAATTGTTCAAACTTTCCTTATCTAATGAACTGAATGATTGTTTCATGAATTTTTTGAGGGAATAATTATCATTTCACTGAATCTCCTTCACCTTACTGCTGCTTTCTTCTAAATATAATTTAATTACTTGCCAGAAACTTATCTTTCATTAGCTAAACCTACTATTTTTAAAAAGAACACATACATGTCGAACAATTAAGATGCAGAATTAAAGATAAGACAGGGCGGAGAAGCTGTGATTATGAAGTAGTCAGAGCACATTATTACGCTCACATACTATCATAATTAAAGCATAATTCATCAAAAAAGAATTTTCCTACTTATGTATTTGTATAAATGAAAAATTTCTTCTTTTATATTATTCATTATTAAAAGTGGTTCGCTCTCATCCCATTATTTAGGGCTAGATCACCTGGTTCTCTCGGATAATTTTGTAAAAATTTCTTGGGAAGAGAGGAGGATAGGTCAGCAGCACTCGACCTTTTTAGATGGCAGTTTCATGCTTCACCCGTAGTCTCGCGATGCGATACGATCTTGAGAATGGGCATTCTAGATTAAAAACCACATGAAAAGTTTGCATGGAAGATTTTCGTTCAATTTTCGCAGTGATAAACTTCATTCAATACTGAAATTATTCTAATGCTTTGCAGTTCATTTGCTTCTGAAGATAATGTTACATTTGTTCATATTAATTTTCGTAAATGGTGCTATGACTTTCGAGTTCGATATTTACAAATTGCTCCAACATTTTGAATACAAACAAAGCATATCGCTTTCGGGCAAAATACTTTGCGGTTATGAAAGGATCGACGTACACTTCGTTGAACTATCTTATGAGAGTTTTTTCTCCGGAGGTCCGCTTTTTTTAAAATTTTTCTTTTAATTGATAAATTTTAAATAAATTTAAATAAATTTTCTTTTAATTGATCAAGCAAGCATATGTACTGTTTTTTTATGTCCTATGTCCTATATTATCGATATTCCCACTTTTTATTTCACTTTATTCTATCTTAGTTTTTTATCTATTTTATCTGCAGTGAACTATTTGAGTTAGATGGAAAAAAATGAAAAATTTCCTTGTCAGGTGTTAAATTGAATAAAGTGAGCCAAATTAAATATGGTAACTTTAACATCAGCGGTGAAACGAAAGAAATAACGACCATACAGCCAATCTTAAGAATCGAACATAAGTGCATTAATGGCAAATACAAATCGGTATGAATATATGAATAAATTTCAATCATTCTATTTCAATTATAGTTTATAGTCGGAATAATGGTAACAAATGCTTCTGATCATCGTATAACCATTTAGTGATTCAGAATATTTTGGAGCAAAGCATTCAATGAAGTTCTGTTTGAAAAATTTCTTATTATTCGAAAATCAGACCTACTATAAAGGCCAAAACAGTTAGGGCAGTCAAGATAACTGGACCAGATTTTTTCAAAAAGAAGTCGGAAAAAAGAATATCGCATAGTGACCATACCAAGTATATAAAGAATGAAAAATCATATTCGCTCATTTATTTAGTTTTGCTCATTCATTCTACTGATCAACCACTTGTTTATTCTCAGAGCTGTTTAATTGAATCGAAGTACCATGTTCCGAAGAGATTTGTTGGAAGAAAATTTGACATTGGAGTGGTTAATCTAAATATGCTCAACAATCGCATAGTAGAATGCTCAAAATAAAAAGAATATTGCTTCAGCGTAAAAGAAAATTCATTTAGAAAATTGAATTCACGAATCCGCTTTTTTACGATTATTGAACTATTTTTACCTTCTATCATCGTCAGAATTTAATTTAATAATAATATGAAATCTCGAAATTTCTAGATTCCAAATAAAAATTCTAAATTTTTGAATATTATTAGTTCTAAATTTAAGTATTATCTTTTTTTCATTCTTCTCAGATAAAGTTGTTTCCGCTGACTACAAATGCACTGGTTAATTAAATTAATGGGATTAATATTTCCATATTTTGTTCTGTACATTTGTTATTCTCATTCGTTCTGCAAAATTCTCGTATTGCATAACCATTAATTATGTTATAGTTGATTTCAATAAAGTTTTCATTTCTAAATTTTTTAGATTTGATTTGATTTGATAGAATTGTATTTTTAACATCTTTGCAACCAATAAAATTTTTAATGATAACAAAGTTATTTTAAACTGAATTTTTATCCATCAGAAGAACAAAATTTATCCAAAAAAAGAACAAAATTCTTATCACTTCTGCTTCGACTAATAAGAGTTATGATTGAACCGAATAAAAAATCGGAGCAAATAATGAAGCGCTTTATTTATAGAAGATTTATGAAGATGAGCGATCTCAATAGAAATTAAGCGGCAAATATTAATCAAAGGATTATATTTCCTTTTTTTTATGATATTTCCATGCCATTTAATTCTAATTATCTCTAACACTGGTGAATCCGATGAATTTTCCTCAATGCGAATTCAAAAAAACCTCTATAGAATTCCGTGAAATTGCGAAAACCAAAAAATTCCAAAATGGCCTAAACATAGAATTTTCAATTTTTTCAAATATTGGTGTTCATTTTTTTCATCAATTACAAGAGTAAATTGTAAAGTGATTTTATTTATATGCCTATGGCTAATTTTAAGAACACTTAAAAATGGAGATATTTTAAAGACTGTTTGGTTTTTTTTTGCCATTTTTCATCGATCCCCTGGTTTCTAATTATCATTAATTTCACTTTATTTATCACTAGTCATATTTTTTATTTTATTAATTTTTTATTTTATTAATGCGTAGTAACATCAACAAGTGACAAATGGATAATCCAAAAAATTTTCCGCAATTCATATTCAGCGAAATTCTCGCAAAAAACCTTGTGAAACAAAATCCTTGCATTCCAGAAAACTTTTTCAAGATTTCTGAAGTTCAGAATTTTCATAGTTTTATATTCTGTTATTAATATTATTAGTATTAAAAGGTCTATTGAATTAGTGAAGCTTATGAGTATATTTATACTTATTTGAATTGACCTGAGAAATTGTTTTCCAAAAATTCTGCCATAAATCCACTTAATTGCGAGGTAATGTTGTTAATGACTGTTGTTATTAGTAAAAATTTTTCTCACCAATTGAATTAGGGAAGCTTATAGTATATTGAAAGATATGGAATGAATTATTACCAGAAAAGGTTAAAAGAATTTAATATTGAGGCAATAAAGAAGAGAAAGCAGTGGGATGAAATAAATAATGTTGTGCGAAGCGACAAGTATGATTCAAAATGAACCGCACAGTGGGCTGTTTTGAGTTTGGATGCGAATTTCAAATATACCAAAAGGTACCTCAATAGGTGACTATTCTAGCAATTGATTGTTCACGTTTTTCACCAAATTGATTAATTTATTAAAAAATTTTATGATCGAATGTGCTTTATTAGTCGAATATTCATAGGTTGACGAGATTTTGAAAGATACAAAGAAATTCTGGAAAACTAGAAGTTTTTTATGTTAACACAAAAGCTTATTGGTATGAGTGATATTCATAAAAAGGAGAGCAAGGAGTTTCATTAATAGGTTGTATTAGAAAAACACAGCGAAGTTTAAGAGTGTGTTAAAATAAAATAATAATTTTATTTTAATAAAATAATAATAAATAATAAAGTAGCAATTAAATAATAGTGATGATTTTTAGTGATAAGTAAAGAAATGTAGCGTAGGATGGGACATGGCTGGTATTAGAAAGCCACAGTTGGATATACTATGGATATGTTAACTCTAACTTAGCATAAGGAAATTTAAGAGAATATTGCTAATGTTTTATGGCGGAAGTTGGCAAAGTGTACCGTAAAGCGTACGGCCCTGACGTTTTAATGCATAGACGACGTCCATAGCAGTGACGGTTTTCCTCTTCGCATGTTCACAATATGTACAGCATCACGGATAACCGTCTGTCTATCTTTGTCTTCCGAGTTTCTCCATCGCTAACCATTACACTTAGCAGAAATGCTAAAATTAAAACTTTCTATTAAGAACCTGAAAAATTTGGACAGTACTGAGAGCACAACTTATATATATCTCCAAGAGACTATTTGGCGAAACCTAATCTAACCTGACGACGGACAGAGTCAGCAATGGTATCTAGAATTAATGAATGCAATTTGAATAAAAAGAAAATGATCGTTCCGATTTTCATAACTAGGCGGTAATAGGACTTGAAAATGAATTGTAATAATTCGGCCGCACCATATTCCATTTGCTATTCCTTACTATTACTGTGGTTATCCGGAACTTCTCCAGAATAATGGGTCAGTAAAGAATGTCGCATAGATTCCCCATCCGATCCTATAGAATGGTTTTGACTTTAAAGGTTCGTCGAAGATAATTTCCACTGAGCTCACTTGAATGATTGACTCTGCTAAGCTTTTTGCACTCTAATATAATTAATCTCATGCTTTTTTAAATAAGGTTTTACAAAAAATCTTATTTATAAAAAGGAAAATTTCTCTACGCATTACTTTTACTCGATTTACTCGATTTCAGATTTCACATGGAAAAAATGAAAATCCATGGATTAGTATTAAACTTTATTGTATTCATTTCTGCGACTTGCAGCCTTACTTCTTTTGGAAAAAACAATATTATGGAAGTAAGAGGACAAATAGTATGTGGATACAGAGCATACTTACGACGTGAGCCTGTTGTGGTGCAAATCTCATTTGTTGAGAGAAGTAATCTTTTCACGTAAAATTTCTCTCCTTAATCCGAAATTTTTTTGCATTCAAATATTTTAAGTGATCTTTTTGAAATTCTCATTTTCTCAATCTTATTGCATGAATTTTTGCCAAAAATTGCGATATTTCAGACGAATATCACCTAATGAATGAAACCAAAGTAAAAGATTACGGATTTTTTAAAATATTTGGTGAATTAGAGCATGTGGTGCCTACACAGTTCGCGTTAACTTTTAAACATACCTGTGTTGATGGGAAATACAATCCGGTTAGATTTGTGCCTTTATATGAAGAAATTTTCAGAAGGAAATTATAAGAAAAATTAATTTCCAATAAAAAAAGATTTTTTTGCAAAATCGATCGTCCATGTAGCAAAATTTTTTCGAGTTATAATTAACGCAATTTTTTTCTTTGTTCAGAAACTAATTTTAGTCACTTGGTTTTTGCATAAAATTATTTTATTCTTCATCTATTTATCGGCGAATTTTTATAGAAATGTAATGTGACTAGTAGCCTTATTCTTGCGAAACAATTACTCGGAACGATGGTTGAAATTGGCGTTATCAATCTTAATTTACTCATAGATAATCGCAAGATCAACTGTAAAAATTAATTCTTTCATTCATTTGAATATGAAATTTTCAAGAAATTTTTGAATAAAATTCAATTCAAAACAAATTTTACAAAATTTTTTTTATTAACAACATTTACTATTGGAATAAATTGCGTAATGCGATTTGTACAAAATCTGCACCTACTTTAAATTGAAAAGTGGAGTTAAATTAAAAAAGAGGCAAAATGTTACTTATTTACTTATTTAATGCAATTCCGTGAATCCATAGCCATTTTGCATAAAATTAGTTCTAGTTTTATATTCTTTTACTGATAATTAATGTTTTATGTTATTGTTATTCATATTAAGCATTTTCTATTGCTACAGCGTCCTCTTCTAAGTAAGTAAAAAGGATAGTACATCACCCGTCTTATTGTATGGTTCAATGCTCAGCGTTGCCATTATGAAATTGGGCCTACAGAAAACGAATTTCTTCGTAGTCATATTTTCCTGAATTGCGCAATTTATGCAAAAGTAATGCATAATGCATACATTCTGTTTCGAATTTCAAAAATAATTTCTTCTTTACAAGCTGATACAGTGAAATCAAACAAGTGTATTTGGAATTGAATTGAATTGTTCGATGGCTGCTTTTGATTTATCGCTGTTCAGTGCGATTTAAGATATAATCGATCACTTAATCAATCACTTAATAGATGGCAACATAATGCACAGTGAAGTAAGGCTGCCAATCTTGATTTGGTTGGGCGCAGCTAATTTATAACCTTTTTAAATGAAGCTGAACCAGGAATAAAGATTAATAAAAATCAAAAAGAACTCCAATAAGATGTTAAGAAGCACTGGATGGATGGCTTATTAATATAAATGTTGAAAAGGATCTAGTTAGATGCTTTAGATTAGATAATGATTAGAAAATTTCTAAAATAGGTGGTGCACACAAAATATGAGTAGGTGGAGCGGTGTAATCTCTTAAAAATCTTTATCCAAAGTGGATAAGGTGAAATCTCAGTGAACTAGAAGAATTCGTCAAATGTAGTTTCTTTTTAGTAGAATCTGCTAAATCATTTTACCTCAATTTTGTTTTTTTAATTTATCGGCAAAAAAATATTTATGGTCTCAGTTGATATTTTTTTCTCTCCTAGTAGCAAATTCGTATTTTCATCATCAACAAATTCTTTTGTCGATATAATCAGTGGCAAAACTTATACAATTGTCTTTTTTATTTGGCGATAGAAAATGCCGATCTCTTAAGGCAATAAGCAATTTGTTTCTGCATTTACACAGCCAAAAAAGAAAGCCCACAATTCTTTTGATTTTAAATATGATTTATCCCATTCGTTTAGTAAATATCTTGAAGTCTTGTATGAATGTGATCTTCATTGTAGAAAACGCAAATTATGGCATTGATGAAATCAGTAGTAATTTATATAATCCTGGTAAATGTCGCTGCTGGAATGCTAATGGAGGTATTGCACCCAACGAGAACTATAGAACTAAAAGGGATATTGTATTGTGCATATGAACCAATAACCATGGGCAACGTAACAATACGTTTATATGATGATTATCTTGGTACCTTCAATATTTTCAACAGCATACATTATCAAATATCTTGAAATTTTTTTCTTTTTTAACTTCGTAGATTTGTTTTTCGAATGGCTGGCCCCATTGCTGATTAACTGCACTGGTGAAATTTGAAATTAGCTGGAGCCAATTCTTTTCCCATCACCTAATCCAGTATGCCACTAAGGGTCTACGTGCCAAATTTGTAGATTTCGGGAATTAATTATTAAATGGAAATTTTTGCAGCTTGGATGAAAAATTTCAGGGCTTTATCGGAAAGAAATCGCTACAGCCAAACCAGACAAAAATGGCAATTTTTCGATATTTGGCAGAAACAGAGCATTTATCGACTTAAATCCAATCTTAACCGTTGAACATCACTGCGTTAGGAATAAATACGAGCCAGTGAGCCTTTCGGATTATTTTAACAACGAAAATTTCTTTCAGCTCCTTCCTTTTTTATTCTATTTATATTTCCCTGGTCTATACTGTATTCTCATTTGATTTCATATTCTAAATTTATTATGGTGACTAAGTGAGGTTGCATATTAAAAAATCAATACTGATCATTAATTATTATTAGGTGTTATTAATTCTAAGAAAAATAATTTCTAGAACTGCACCGTCACTGGTGGTTACGTTGTTCCGAGTGGGTACACTGCGACGGTATACGATATTGGATACGTCAACGTCAATCTGCTCAATGATAGATATGAAAAAATATGTTCGTAATGCCTTTTGCGAGTAATATAATTGTTTTTGCGATTTACTATGACTGTTTGATAATTATAATTAATTTTAATACTATAATTTTTTATCGTTTAGATAGAAAATATAAATTCGCTTAGAAAGATAAAAAAACTAAACCCGCATTTTGAGAAGCTTATGAACACTTTTGTTGTATTTCTCCTTATCTCCTTATAAATAAAAGGTGCGAATGCTATAAAATTAACACTTTTGCAAGCATTTTTCGGTTCATTTATAGCGATTATTTTTAAATAGCTGTTCAAAATTATGCTTTTTATGCTATTCCTTTTATTAATATTCAATAAAAATTTTATGAGAATTTTATGAAATTTTATTTTATTAAAATTTTTATCGAAAATAAAACCATCAGCATTTTAAAGTATAACTTGTGCTTGGTCAATTTTCCTCAATAATTAGAATTGCACGAAGCTACAATTTTTGAAGTGAGTATAAGCAATGCTTTATCGTTTACTAAAAATATTCAAGAAAGTTGAAATTTATAGAGGAATTTTCAACAAAAATTGAAGTGGTGAAATTTTTTGTCATTTACTTTAAAAAAATCCAGTATACAATGCAATATACTCAAAGAAAACCTAATTCGAATTTCTTTTTTTTCATTATCACGGAAAAACCCAAAAGAGCCTTTAATTAAAATGGTGGAACATAGAAATGTTTCAATATTCCAACATCACTCTTAACAACATGGCTATTCAAAAGCTTTAAAAGAAATTTTTGATTTAAATAGAGACGTTGGAACACGTTGGAAAAAAACATGACTGTGGTAGTTTTGGCAATTTTATTTTTTGCAATTTTTTGCTTTTTTATTCCTCTAGACTTATTATTCAGTCCATAGTTAACAATTGAGGAAATTCTATAAATTCATAAATTTCTTATTTCAGTGCAAAATAATTGTGGTGGCTTTAGCAAAAAACTATATGTATCTTATTTTTTAAAAATGACTCGTACTTCTATCATAAGATCACGATAATGCACCATTGAAATTAATGGAACTAAATTTTGTTCCTGCAACTGACGCGAGTGAAGAAATTAGGGGGATGATAGAGGCGAGGCCGCCTGCACTTTCGCTTTAGTCCTTTCGAGCAGTAGCCATTGGAGCCCACCCCGATATGGTAGCTATTACTTATATTAATTTTATTTTCGGCTACTCTGTAGGTTAATTGGCAACGAATAGTATTTGATACTATACTGGCCAACTTTATTTTGTAAAGCGACCTATGACCATTAATGCCATCAAAAATCCAAAAGATATACTTTATGCTATCCATGTCGGTCTTCTGAAGAAAAAATTCCACATTCTTGTTATAAAATAATCTCACCGTCTACTCAGATTACTTTATCTTATTTACTCTTATATCTGTTAGACGATTTCTTTACGATTTCTTTACGATTTGCAGAATATGACATTTCCATCATTAACAAAAAAGAATAAATAAAACTGTAAGAATAAAAGAAAAAGCCCTGTGAGTTGCAGTTAAAATTAGAAGCGAGAATTCTAACTAAAAGATTTCCAATCACTTAAAGTAGCAGTTGATAATGTCATTTTTCATTATTATTTTTTTATTTATTCAACCATTATTAAAAATTTATGTAATGAATTTGTAGAGATTTATTTTCTTTTTTTTCTAAATGATTTTTTCTAAAATATTTTTATTTGGCTACGTTGTTGATTAGCCGTTGGAACACTTTTTTCCTGAGGCTAGAGTTGAAGCTCGATTTTTTTGGCGATCTGAGAAATGGACCAGAAGCGTTTGAATGTTTATCGTTTATAAAGATTATGAAGAAATTTTTTATTTTTTGAAAAAATAAATCCATAAAAGTTGAAAAATAAAATATAAAGAACGAAGGTTTTTCAGAAGAGATTTTTACTGCAATAATGCTGCTTTTCTTGGTTTCGTTAATTGTCAACATATTTATTATGACAAATCAGACAAGTTCAGATGGGATGCGTAATATTACATTTGGAGGAGTTCTTTACTGTGGATATAAACGAATTCGTGGCAATGAAGCATTGAGGAAGGTCAAAATTAATATTTCGAATGAATATGAAGGTGACGGTTACATTTTTGTGCACATTTTGACAATTTTTTCGACATTTCCTCAATCATAACACAAAGCTGCAGATAAATTATTGCCTATGCGTACTCAAATCTTAGAATATCAAGATGGTTTTTTCACTGTTTACGGCGAAATTGATATATATTCACGCCCAGCGATGAAATTTGAACCAGTTTTAATTATCGAATATCCTTGTGAAATCGATCCAGAAGTCAGTCGATATTTTTGCAATCAACCTATTTTCAGTTGTATTTCGATTTGATGGTAGGAAGCATTCGTATATTGCCATAATTATTGCTTATTATTTTCCAGGAACCTTCAACCGTTCATAGCTTTATGTTTCCTGAAATGTCTGGTGGAACAATATTTGATATTGGAATCGTAAATCTAAAAATGTTTTTTTACTTTTGGCACAAGCGCTTTCGTGATTACAGATACGATTTCGAATAGCAGATTAGCAAACCATACATCAATCTTTTTTTCTTTTTTTTACTTTTGAAAGCTCTTTGACACATTTTCTCTGACACTATGAGTATGAGTAATATTGGTGGATTCGAAATAAACTATTAAACAGGCTTAGATTTTCCACATCTCCTTATGCGTAAATTTATGTAAAAGAACAGAATAAATTGTTCGAATAGCAATCTATTAACTCTATTAACTCCTTATTGACTCTATCAGATTTTCTGCATTCGCATTGAATACAATATTACCGAAACTGGCGCCTAAGCGATTAGTCGCACATTAATCTTGCATTTGTCAGTCTATCCCAGTCACATAATAGCTTCATTCTTTCTTTTATATTACCTTTATTCTTCATAACTCTTATAACCTTTTTTGATAACAATCATTTAATCTTTGAAATAATCGTATACACACCATGGGCTTTGGGAAAATCTGCAATGGCGGGAAAATTTTAATGGCAATAAATCGTTGGGTCAAATTTAATAATGATATAATTATTCATATATATATATATATATATACGAATATATACAGTTCATTCCAATATAACATTTAAAAAAATAAAAATGTGAAATCTAAAGCTTCTTTGGAATTCACTTAGGTATATTGATAGAATGGCTCAGCGGGTTGTTGCTCAATTGGAAGTGCCTATTCTGAGGTTCGATTTCCTGCAGAAGTAAACCTATATAAAAATCCAAGTGATACTGGCGACTCACCTGTATTTCTATCGCCAAGAGACCTTGGCCTATTGCCCAATTGCGACAAGCGAGTGGAGCGAGCTTGTTAAATGGTAATGGTGAGGACTCTTAGAAAAAAAAGAAGTGTATTGATAAAAACGATTTCCATGTCAATTTTCCAAATTGAAATAAGCGGCCTCTCATTGAAATGAAATCTAAGTAGCGATTCATTTCTGCTTTTATTATCGAGACCTTTAGCCATATATTACCTTCCAGGATCGACAAAAAGCAGTTAAAAAAGATTAAAAAACATTTTTTCTTAAGGTTATAATACAAACTCCTTCTATAAATCCATGCCTAAAAAAAATAAATTTAAAGTGAAATAGTGTTCAGAGTTGCGGAGTTTTTTGGTTCAGCCCATTGCTTCGGAAAATCTTCGCAATAAAATTTCAATTTAAAGCACCAATCATTTTTTTCCAATGTTCTTTAGTTGTTAAAATTTAAAATTGAACAGAAAAAAAAATGAAATAATTTTGATGATTTTTGCAACACAGATGTTCAAGAATAAAATTTTTTTAAAATTTTGCTTATATAGCATTGTCATAAATTTGGAAAATATCGGTTGGTAAGATTAGATTTGCTATTAAGTAATGTCGAATGCTACTTGGCTATAGCAAAAATGCATACTTTGTTGTTTGCCTCTTAGAATTCAGTTCATCAACAGTTCCCATTTATTATTATTTCTTCAATGTCGAGACAAGATAGTCGAGTGGCTGTTGCTAAGATTTCGTTTCGAGCTTCAAAAATTTTAAAAAATCCAAATGGTCCTGGTTATATGTCTTTCGCCATATGACACCGCTTAGCAAAAATTTCTCATCGTACTAGGAGCCAGTAGAATGCGCCTAACAGGAAGAGGTGAGTGCTAAGTGAGCAGTGATTGCTTAGTACTTATTTTTTTAAACTCTGTTTTAGAACCGCTTTAAAACGATTTTAAACCTCTGTGGGCTTGTTTGAATTTTGATAAGGAGCTAAGCAGCTAGAAAAATAAAGAATTTGTTTTCGAATCAGTGAAACATGAATCATTCCTGAAAATTTTCTCTTTCTTTGTTATCAATAAAATGTTTTCATGTCGAAAAGAATTAATCAAAATCCAGAAATGTGATAAACCAACTGCTGAAATATTATGTGGGTTAATTCGTAATAATTTCAGCTAAACGGTTCTATTTTCTTCTTTGTTTTGCTACACTTTTTATGTGGGTTCATTGCCAAGCCTAAATTAAAAACTCGTTTTGTTGACAGCGCAGTCACCATTTTATTCGTACAAAAATGGCGAATTCATTTTCTTTTCATTTCTCATTTAGTTTTTCTTCTTTTGAAACGGCTTACCAATTCGAATTTTTATTTAATTTTTAATTTAATTTTTGACTTCACCTTCTTGGAATCTCGATGCAGTTAAATCAGATAATGTAAAACTCTCTAAAATATGGTGATAAATGCAAACGTCAGGAACAGAGCGGTGAAAGTTGAAATAAGCTATTAAAGGAGGCAACCTCAATGAAAACTTCATGAAATTTTTCACGAACCATTAATAAAATTTTTTCCGGTTCGCTTGTTCTAAATAAAAATTTTTCGTTTTATTTGTGAGTATTTATTAAGATTGTGTATAATTTATTGCATATTTATAATTTGTTTCACTCGAATAAATATAGTTGAATATGGTTAATAATAATATTGATAATAGTAGTAGTAATAATAGTAGTAACAATAATAGTAAATAAATAGTTCATACTAATAGTCACAATAAAATTTTGAATTTCTTTGCGGTGCTTCGCAAATTTTTTTCGGGCTTCACCACTTTTTTTTAAAATAGTTGGTTTAATAAACGACCTGTTTCTTTAATTCCACTTAAAATAGTGAAAATATGGTTCTTCAATTTTTTTTCTTTTTACGTTATTAAAATTATTTTCGCTAAAATCAATTTATTGTTCTAAATTATATAGCAATTAAAAGTTTTCTTTCCTTTCTTTCTTTCTTTACTGATTTCCTTTATTGTAATTGATAAATTATTGACTTATTTTAGTCTTTTTTCTATCGTATAACTAACTTCCGGCTTAGAAGACTCTATTCTAGGCTGAATTATGAGAGTTTACGGGAAAGCTGCTTTCCCGTATAGGAGATAATTTTTTAGCAGCATCTCGACTTATACAAAGAAAACACTTTCTTATGGAAATTTTAAGTTTATATTGTGATGTCTGATGCGTCATATTCATTATTCATTATAATTCATTTTTCAATCATTTTGCTGATTTCTAGATAGCTGCTGCTTTATTTATTGCAAACATTATATGATAATAGGAAAATTGTGTGGATTATTATATTTCACACTATTTAAACGTCATCGCTTAATTTATTTTCGTTTAGGAACCATTTTATATCCACGTATTCAAGGAACTGATCATAGTTATTATTATGTCTACGCATTGGAAGAATTGATAATATCTATGATATAACTTAGAGCTATAAATTGATGTAATAAAAAATTTGCAGACAAGATAACCATAAAGCGGAGATGTCTAAAAGATCGATGCCTGGACTTACCCTGACTAATAATGACGACATTCACAACATTTGATCTCATTTTATTAGTTAATCAACTTAAGATATTATGAGCCAAATATGTGCCAAATGTTGTATCACGGAATTCATTTTTATCCAATTATTTATAGTTCCGCTGTATGAATAACTAAATGATTATAAATAAATAAGAAATATTTTAAATAACTCGTAAAATTGGGTGAAATATTTAAAATTAAAACATTTGAGTCACTTGGGTTTCATTTTGCATAGCAGGCTTACTTTCGACAGGGAATATTGAATGGACCTGTAATGGTATGATCTTAATCGGACAAACAACTAGGCCACTCCACCGTGGTACTAATTTTATATATTATGAAAACTGCTTAAAAATTTAAAAAAAATCATTGCCTTTGTTAGATCCATAGTCTTTCAGGGTCTTTCTTTTTATGTATCAAATTCTATTCAATATAATCATGCAGAATCTCCTCTATGTTTAAATTAATTTTTTGGTTACAAATTTAGAATTCAACTCTCTTAGCGCCATTTACTTTTACATCAAATTTTTTGCATTATCCACAAAAAAGATAACAAACTAATTGGGGAGATCGACTAGATTTTAGTTATTCCTATCAATTTCATGTATCGCGTCGAACTATTATGAAATCTTGTCAATACATATCACAGAGATTGTCCAAGCACCCATTTTAAAATAATTAAAACAATTAGATTTCATTTTAGAAATCAAGTGGTCAATAAATAAAGTGAATTAGGAGCCATGTTTTTTAAGAGCATAAATCGCAGATATGCTTCTGTGAATGTGACTGCTAAGAAATTATGGATGGTTCGTCGACAAACAGAAATATTCATTGCAATCCTGAAAAATCGCTTATTGATTTATTATTATAGATTCATTCATAATTAACATGCGGTCGATAGTGATAATTTTTATCATCTACAGTGTCTTGGATTTTTGCGATAGTTTATGCAAAACGCAACATGTTACAGTTATAGGCCAAGTTGGCTGTGGTGGTCGTTCGGTCAAAAATGTTGAAATCGAGCTTCGTGAACATGATACACGTATATTTCTTTAGATCTGAGAGTTTTGTACTGAGGACTGTATACAATACTTTTAAATATTTTAGAAAGTTCTCCATCTTGTCCATTTTGCCCATTGTCTATTTTGCTTGCAATAAATTTCACAACTTAATACAAAACAGATTTGTTTATAAATGAGTTCATAAAATTTTTTCAACAAATATTTGACAACTTTTCAGTAGATCCTGATGACTCACTTAATACAACAAAGAGCGATGGAGAAGGGAATTTCAATATTCATGGCCAAGAATGTGAAGTAGGAAGCATTAAACCATATCTTAGAATCACTCATAATTGCGATGACGGAGTCATTAATCCCGTAAGTTTACCAGTTTTTCCGTATCTACCATTTATTTAATATTCAATAAGTATATTTCGCCAGTGCCAGTGTATTATTATATTTTGCTGAATCCAGTTTCATCATGCCACTGAATTCTTAAAGTTAGTGATGATGATGAAACTGGGTAGGGAGAATTCTCTTTCAATACTACCTTATTGGAGGAAATTATTTAACTCATGAATTTTATACTTTTTCGAAAAGCAATTATCATTTTTGGTCACCATTATCATTTTTAGACTCTCTCCTTTTTCTTATTCGGGCTAGGAATAAGAATATAAGAATAGAATAAGAATAGAGATATAGGTGGGTTATCAGCCACGGTTTTTTCTTGAATGATAGGTTTATCCCTATGTCGCCAGCATCAGAATTCTTAAATGAGAACAACACTCCAATAGGCCACCATATTTTTTTTTTAAGGGACCTCACTACTACTGATTAAACTCGCTACACTGGTTTGTTGCAGTCGGTCAATACGCCAGGGAGTCCCTTGGCGATAGAAATACAGGTGAGTCGCCAGCATTGCCCGGATTTCTTGTACAGGTTTACTCCTGCGGGGAATGGGCCATATAAATCTACATATAATATATCAACATAAGACTAGTTAACACAGAGAAGAATGTCCCTGATTATGAAAGATTGGGTTTTGAGGAAAAATGATTGGGTTTTCATGATAATATTATGAAAGATTAAGCACTGAATTAGCGAGCAATTATTTTTCCTCAACGTGGATTCTATGATATATAGTTATAAGCTACAAGAGTATATAAGTGCAGTTCAAAAGGAGAATGAAAACAACAGCTCGAAACACAGATTACTTACAAATATCTTTGCATCTCAAATTACATGGAAACTACGATGGAGAAGAATGACAATTGTATCATCCAAACACAATCAAAGAATGCAAGACAGATCTTCAAGAGTCAATGGCGAAATAAAATGCATGTCATAAAAATACACTTTACAGCCATCAAATATGTAGCTAATATAATGAAATGGTCAAAGACATGGAGAATGCCGATGTGAAGATCCGGGAACTCCTCACTATGCATAGAAATTTCCCACCACCATATTTAAGATGCATGGGGTTTGTTGAGAAAACCACTTGAACGAAACCTGTAGCATTCAGGACTATGCCATTAAATTGGCACCAAAGAATGAGTTGATAGGATGTATACTATCATATACAGATAGCTGAGGTAAATTAAGAAATTCTTCCAATGGTTATGGAGAAATTTGGCATAGTCGATAAAAAACGAAGCGTAAGTGTCGTCAACGAAGTTCAACAGGAAGATTTTATGTTGAGCTCATATCTCACATGAATATATAAAATTTTTTGATTAACGCAAAAACATATTTAATGGAAGTATATATGGATAGACAGTGGAAAAAGGAATGGCTTCTTTTGTCGACGATAGCATCAGAACGCGCCGCTTGGAAGCGTCTTACCCTTATAGCCGTTGGAGCCAGCCTAACCAGTAATGATGAGAGCTGTTAAAAGAAGAAGAATGGGAGTAGTTTACAACAAATATTCCAACAGATACTCATTTGAATAACTGTAAGGGATCTGATTGCATAATAAGAATTGTAATAAGATTGATTATAAAATAAAAGATTTTGCATGTGAATTAGTTTTTTAGCCATAAAGAGAAAGGATGTGAATTTAGTAAGATCAAGATAATGAAAAAACGCACGATAAAAATAACTTTAGGAATGTGAAATCGATTACATGATTCATAGTATTTATTTGCAATTTGAACGATTTATTTACTTTTTTTCATTTTATTAGCTCTTTTGCAATTTGGTTAGCGATATTTACTATTCGCGACAGTGGTTGGGAAAAGCTGGCTTTTACGGTTTCAAAAGTGATTAGGTTTTAAGCTAATATGCTCTTTTATTCTTTTTTTCATTACCACTCTACCTTCATATGCGTTGGCCAATATAGCAAGTAAAATTAATCAAATTTGCATTTAGATTCGTTTAGCTCGATAATTTTGTTTAAGCAAATAAATTTTATTATGCTTAGGAAGACGAAATTGAAAAAAACTACATTATTACTATAATTTAAGATAAAAATTTAATTACAGCGCTGCGTGATAAAGGACGATATCAGTATCCCAGAACAACATATTGGTGGAACCTATAAGATGGGGATTATCAGTCTCAGTATTGCCAGAAATAATCATAAAAGACAATGCAATTAATCGTCATTTCAAACATTGATTGTAATTTTGGTGTTTTGTTGTCGCAAAAAAATTTTTTAATATTATATATTCCTACATTTCCTGTAATAAATAAAAATTTTTCTTCATTTGGACTGATTGGAAATTATTATGGCAATGAATTTACAGAAAGTTTATTCATTCGTTCAAAATTTTCCAATCTTTTATACCAAAAATAATTATCTTGCTTTTATAGGTTTTTTCTTTGATTCCTTTACTTGATGCAGCGTCAACATGAAATTTTATCCGCAGAACATAGAACCCTTTCTTCCTTATATAGGAAATATTCATGAATTTGCGAAAATATTTCTGATTCTTCTTTAGAGTGAAATCATTAATTCATCATTAATTAAACTATATTTAAGTGTTCGTCACATCTGATTGGCAGCACAGTTTAATCTGGTTGATGTATCAAGAATATGTAATCAGGAAATCAAACCTCATACTCTCTTATCCTTATAAAGCAGTACAAAAAAACCATCTATGCTAAAAATCTGTTTGGAACTCACCGTGACCAATGGAGCCCGTTCGATTATTGATTGTATGGTATGGTTTGATTGTATAGATTCTTAAAAAAATCTCAACAACTGGAGTTAATCTTTGGCAAAGGATTGCATAAGAAATGTTTTTCCATAAATCGAGAATTTCAAGATTTAAATCTAAGACGCATTCGCGGTGAGAGACCTTATCGAATTATGGTTTCGACAGCAATGGATTCTCCAACGTAATATGCAGTCTTCCTTTGTTCAAGGCATAAGCGTATCGATCAAGCATAGGTTGTCCCCTTCTCTGATAATTTTTTACCTAATTCTTTCGGTAATATTAGGAGCATTTGGCGTAAACAGCTTGAGCTTGAGTTATAGAATTTTTTTAAATAGATAATACTATAATAATATTGCTTATGGCACTCGGCTTAATGGCATAATTGAAAGTAAAAAGAATTTTAAAAAAAAAAATTTAAAAGTTAAAATTTTAAAATTAAAATCTAATTAGTTTAATTAGTAAAATTAGACTTAAAATTTCCTAAATTTGACATTTTACGAAATTCTCTTCTGCTAATCCTTCCATCACTCGCCTTCTTCAATTATTTTGGATTTCATTTTTCTTTTTGTTGAATTTTATCATTTTCTTTATGTTGAATTTCTTTCATTTCATTTCATTTCTTTTCATCATTCCTTTTTGTTGAATTTTATTGAAATTGAATATAAAAAATAATTTATTGAAATTTTGAAGTTTATTACGGTGTTGAAAATTTTCAGAATGAATGCTCAGTAGTTGCTTTCATTTGATTTTGGGATTTTACCCCAACTTACGAAATATCCAAATCTAATATCCATTGCGATTTTTTTCTTCTTTCTTCTTTTCTTTTTTTAAATTTAACAACAAAGGATAGAAATAAATAAATAAATATGTATATGCATATGTATGTATGTATATATATATATATATATATATAGGAGTAAACCTGTTGTTTCAAAAATCCGAATAATTTCTGTGGACTCACCTGTAACTCTATCTCCAAGTGATTCTATGGTGAAGAGTCAGATATTCTTGACACGGCATCCATCTTTCGACGCGCATGATACTACCAGCCCTGTTGTACATGCGATAAGTAATCCGGCTGTAAAGCGATCCCAAGGCTTATATAAATAAATAAAATATACTCGCAAACCAGGGTAATTGCTCGAAACCTATCAAGGGGAACAACTTTCTGCAGGCGTGGCGAAGCCGTATAAGTGTGGAACATCAGAACGCTCATGGACATTGCAAGTCAATCACTGTCACTGTCTACACCCTTTCTAAATATCGTGTGGATATCGCTTGCTTGTCGGAAGTCCGTCTTCCTTATTTCGGGTCTCGAGTGATTATTAATCCTGGGTTGGAGCAGAGGTGCTGGCTATACCACTTTAGTGCTTCCAATAACTCGGGAAGAAATGGCGTCGATTGTCATGTCTGACAAACCCCATTCCGCTTTGATTGAGTGGAAACGGTAACCGTATGGTCTATGTCCGTTTTAAAGGTAAGTTTTGCAATATCTCGGTCATCAGTGCTTATGCTCCAACTCTGTCGGCAGATCACCGTGATAAAAATAAGTTCTATGCGGAACTTCAACTCCTAATAAAGTCTCTCCGAAATATTATATGGTCATAATCGGAGACTGGAATGCATAGGTCATAATGCCGCTGTGATGACCTCGAGAATTGGTAAATATGGCATCAGAGACCGGTGCACCAATGGAGAATATCTTCGTTATGTCGAACGTAAAGTTTTCGTTACTAATACTTGCTTCCGGCATTGTCGAAAACACGTGAAACTCCCCGAAAAACCAACAATTCAACCAGATTGATTATACCTTAGTCAGTTACCGTTGGAAGAGTTCCGTACTAGATAGTCGTCCCTATCGCGGAGATGAAACGGGCAATCTTCATGGATCTGACCATGTTATGGTTCCCATAAAATTGACAACTCGCAAAAACACATCCCTCATCCCCCCATGATCCTTTAACTTTCTCAAACTAAAAAATTCGGAGATACTGAGCACATTCCAAAATCTCAATTATTGAGGCACCTAAATGGTAAAAATACCAACTTTTCTGGAACGGCAAATAAATATTGATCTCAACTAAAGGAATATATCCACTTTTAAATTAAACTAGTAGGAAGTATGCTAGTTGAGTATGGGAAGCAGTTGTCCAACTGAAAAAGCTGCTAAACCACGAATGGTCAAATGAACCTTGCTTTTGTATCTGCCGAATGCTTCGAAATTTTGGAACAAAAGCATTTGAAGCAGCACGGCAGGATAGAAATAACTTAAGAATGGAGATGGCAACTCGATTAGGCGATAATAGGGAACTATTCCGTTTTCTTCATAAAGCAATTATAACTCAGGGAACGATCAGTGAAATTGTAAGGAATAGCAATGTTATGTCGGTAAAGCATTAAGGACCGCTTTATAAGATGAAAAGAATTTTTTGAGGCCAACCATAAAGCGCCATCTGTTGCCCCTGATATATCTGATACGTTCGCCGAACCATACGCTTGCAATTGCGAGCCATATATATGTATTTATAGATTACTTGATTTAATTCTGTAATTTATTTAATTTAATTGTTTTAATTTTTAATTTATTTTAATCGTTGTTTGGCAAAAAAAATTAAAGATTTAAATTGGCTGAATTTTTATCAGAAATGAAAAATACACAAAAATAATACACAAAAATAAATCAAGAATATTTTTTAAAAACATCGCTCAGCAAAAATTATTTTTCAATTAATAGTATATTTAAGTAGATATGAAAAGAATTTCTAAATTTTCCCTAAATTTTTGCTTTCGTTCTTGAACTGCTCTTATATAGAGCAATTATTGCAATTATTAGTATTTTGGATTTTATATTCTCAAAAGCTTGCTGAAGTAAAATTGTGGGGGAGGAGGGGCGGGGAGAAGCATGAGTTTTCCATAATTTATTTCAATCCAAATTTTAATCGCCATGAAATTCCCGAGATTTTCGAGAAATCATTAAAAATTAAAGTCAAAAAGTCATATAAATTAACATGTTCATTTCTCCATATATTTATGAGCTTCCTTTGATAATCTTTCGTAAAATGTTTTGCTTAACATTGAAAATAATAACAATATTGAAAATATTTTCAAAAATTTTAAAAAGTAGCAGCGCAAAGTAGCATCTTACTAATTTAATATTCATGGAATGATTAAGCGACAAAAGCGATGGAATACTTTAAACGAAGGGCCAATTCCAATCAGTTGGTCAATCAAAAAGCTCAAAAATATTGCGAAATCTGTAAGTATGATGTCTGAATAGCTTTTCAGCAAAACAATAGATATTTGACTGAGCCATGAAGCCTCCGAATATTTATTTAAAACTTTTTTGAATTAATGTTCAATTCTCTACTGAAATCTTTTGCGTTTCGGTTTCTGTCCTTGGCATTTTTCAATACACCCCTAATGATTTCCCTATTATAAATTAGAAATGTATTAAGCTTTTTAATGGATATTATTACTGAATATGAATATTAAATTGATTGTTTCATCGAATTTAACAGTTTTCGCCACAAAATTGGCATCTTAAGTCAAAAATTTATATTAAAAATTAGTCAATATTCCGAGAAAATCCTTGTTCCTTCAGATGGTTCAACTAAAAAAGTGAATCAGCGCAAAAAATTAAACTATTATAGTTCAGACAAATCAATTATTAATCCTGTGGAACCATAAAAAATAAAAGCATTCTTGCCAAATTTTGCTCAGTCAATCACTAAATCACGAACTCATGTAGAAATCACGAACTGTAGCTCATTAAGTGGGCAAAAATTTTGGATTTATGAGAAAGCTCGGAGAATTTTAATTGGATTTCTTTTATAAGTTTATCCAGTTAGGCAGAACGAATTTTACCAGATTTCTTAATGGTTTTGGCAAATTAGTTTTTATTTGTTTATTATTGTTTCACTAAAGGCAATAAAATGGATTGGATCGCTCAAGAAACTAAAGATAGCAAAAAAAAAATTTCGGACCTTATTTAAAATTGAAATCTTGAATCTCTCGTTTTTTTTCTTTTTCTTGCAACATTTTTCCAGTGGTTCAGCAATTCAGAAATGACAATTTGGCATCTATCTGAAAAAAATGCAGCAAAGAATGGAAAGTAATTTTAGAAGCAATTAGCAATTTTTCACAAAAAATGCTTTATTTGGTTGATGAATTTAATTATTTTTCATTGTCTATAAAAAAAATTATATAATATCAAAAAGCAGTTGGAAATAAAATTGCAGCATAAAACTGTGGTATAAAATCTCTTATGGATCGTTGCCGTTCGCAATAAAGTGATATTCCACGAGTGATTCCCTATTTTCTCCGATCAAGAAAAATTTACAGCCATAGCGCATCGAGCTTTTCTCAATTTTTTTTCATTTTTTTGAAAACCCTTAGTTTTCTCCATTTCCATTTTCCACTTTTGCTTTGCCTAAAAAATG